TGCTGAGGGGGGAAAGGGAGGCTGGATTCTGAAGTTCACTGAAGGTGACAAAAGGATTTAAGGAGCTTTATTTACCTTTATCCTCAGCAAAAGGAACTGTGCTCACCTCGGAGACAGAGGGACACGTCCCAGGCCAGAGGTGACTCCACACAGATTCCTGACACCAGCCCTGTGTGTTCCCAGCTGGTTTTCCAGGAATTTCTTGAACAGACTTGAGCCCCAGTACCTGCTCTTTCACCCCAAATTTGCATCTCTGCCAGGGGGAGGAACGTGGGGGGAATTCTCTCCTTCCCTGGTCCCTTTGTCTCTCCCTCTCCTCCTCCTCCCCTTCCGCTGTTTTTAAGATCAAAAGCTTGGTGCTCTTGATTGGTAATTAACCACAAGTCACCCGGGCTGATTTTTCCAGCAGTAATTAAAAGGTTATCAAGGAGGAGCAGGCAGGACACGGGTACTCCTGGTGTAGCTGCAACCGGGTCAACCCAGAGGATAATTCCACTTTTATCACAAGTATCTCATCAGTCCAAGCTCAAACAAAATACTTAAATACGGCCAAATAGCTGGGTTTTAACTGCACACACAGCACACCGAGGGCAGCTCCTCTTCACCCTGTCAGGGAAGAGGGATGAGCATCTGGAATAAGGAACAACAACTGGAACAGGGATGTGGGTCGGGGGATAAGGGGGTCATGGTGCCAGCAGCTGGGATTGCTCTGCTGGGAATGTGGAAACGTTTTGCACAGCCCTGCACACGCTGCAGACACGGGAATGTCTCCACCGGAATTCCCTGGGAATGTCTGCACAGGAATCCCTGGGATGGGAAGGAAGGATCCTCACAGCTGGGTAAATAAATATTCACCTCCCAGGAACACAACCTGCACTGCTGAGGCTCTGCCCGCAGTGAACACTTGTTTTCCTTGATCCACAGGCTAAACCAAACATTTTCTTAGGCAAATAAACTCAGTCTCGTCGAAACGTTTTGTTTGAACAGCCAAGGACAACACAATTCCCTGGGAGGGAAGCCCACGGGGTTGTAACACCCTGAGTCGCCCCAGCATCGCTCAGCAGCTTCACAGGTGAGGAAAAACATCCCATAATCTGTCCCTTGGGCTCTCAAACGTAATTTTAAACATCTCTGGAAGGAAAAAAAAAATAAATCTGATTTTCTAAGTTGGCCAGTTCCATTTGCTGTGTAAATCCACTGGGAAAACAGAATTAGGGAGCTGGAAGGACTGACTTACAATGTGTTCTCCCTGGATCCCAGTGCAAGCCTGAAACTTCAAATAAGGGGTTCCACAACCAATTTAAGGTTGTCACCTTAAAAATGTCCTGCAAATCATCAGCAGCTGAAAAAAGCCCCAAGAAGGCAGGTGGTGTTCCTGTCAGCAGCTCTCTGGTTGTGCCACAGGGACAGGGAAGGTGCAGAGGGGCTCCCAAATCCCACAGCAATCCTGGATCCAGAAATAACTGCAAATATTCCCATTTCAGTCAGGTTTGTGAACCTGGCCCAGAGGGGAGGCAATCAGGGAGGGACCTGATTGGAGCCCCCTGGGAACAATGACACAATCAAGGCACAATGGCAATGGGAAAAGCTGCTCTGGGGGAAGTGCAGAGTTAAATCAGGTCTCCACTCGCATTTCTGACCCCACAGCAGTTCAGAGGAGCTGGGAACTTCGAGGATGAGCTTTTGGGAAAGTTTGGTCTGGTGGAAGGAGCACAAACTCTGCTGAAGAGAAGGGGAAGTCCTGGCCAGGCACTGGAGGGATGTCACAAACCTCATCTCCTGCTCCAGGGAGGGACAAACTGCCCTCCCTGCTCTCAGCTCTCCCAGCAAAGTCTCTCCCACTGATCCCTCTCCCAAAGCCAGGAATTGGGAAAAATTACAGTGTCAGGTCAAGGAGTGATGGGGTCAAACTGCCAGGGGGAAAATTTAGGTTATATACAGGTGTATATAACAGTTTGAGACCCTCAAAAATCCAATTTCCAAGTCCAAGCCCCCCTCCCACAATTGCTTCAGTGTGAGAGGGTTTTTTTCCAGACATAAAACAAGACTCAGTATGGGGGGAAGGGAATTATATTACTCTCATTACACAAATAAATATTATAATGCATTATATACACAATTCTAACTATCTCTCCTATGGTAAAGCAATATTTACATTGGATCAAATCTCCTTTCCCTCCAATAAAAGTCCAGAAGGGAAGAAGGAAAAGATCCTTTTCGCTTTCAGGGCAGCAGTGTCTCTCCTCTTCAACAGGGAAGAAATCCCTCCCTGGCAGGGTGGGCAGGCCCTGGCACAGGGTGCCCAGAGAAGCTGTGGCTGCCCCTGGATCCCTGGGAGTGTCCAAGGATGGGTTGGAGCAACCTGGGCTAGTGGGAAGTGTCCCTGCCCATGGCAGGGGGTGGAATGAGATGATCTTTAAGGTCCCTTCCGACCCAAACCAGTCCGGGATTCTAAAAACCAAACCATGAGAGAAGCTGAGAAAGCAAAGACTTGGAACCAAGCTCTGATTTCAGCCAACAAAGCAAAGTCAACAGCCCTGGATGTCTCAATTAAGCCTCCAAACCACATTTAAGATTCACAAACTCATCACAAACACGCCACGCAAATTCCCTAATATCCAGTAAAGCTGTTTATTAGCAAATGCCTCATTGCATTAGGCCTGCTCTTATTCTATTAGGGAACCTTCACACCACATTACACTGCAGCACAAAGGGGGGTTTGCCAGGAACGTGGTTGTTAACCCCTTCTCAGAAACCCAGAAGGGGTTGGGTTGGGAGGGACCTTAAAGCTCAGCTCATTGCACCCCCTGCCACGGGCTGGGACACCTCCCACCAGCCCAGGAATGACCCTGTGGCACATCCAGGAAATTCTTGTACATCCAAGTCTGAAGTGGGAGAGCAGGGACTGAGGCAGCTCAGAGTGTTCCCACCACCACCATCCTCCTCTTCCCCCAAGAGGAGCTGACAGACAACCAGGAACTGCTGAAAAACATCAAAAAAAACCCCAAACCACAAGTTCAGGAGGGGGAGAAACAAAGCACTGCAGTTCTCTCCCTTGTTCTGCCCTTGCTCACAGCTCATTTTGGGTCCCCTCCTGGCAGGCCTGAGCTTTGATGAATGACACGTGGCCATCCATCTTCCAGGGCTGCATTCCCGTGATGGATTGGGTACATTTGGAAAGCAGGCAGGGGAAAAAAAAGCAAAATTGATAGTCAGGGGGAGAAGGGAGAGAAAGGAAAAAAAAAATAATAAAAAAAAAGAAAAACAACGTTAGGCAACAGTTACAGAGTTTAATGAGGTGAGATTGATGTACCAAGAAAACCATCACAGGATCACAGAATATCCTGAGCTGGGAGGGACCCACAAGGATCAGAGTCCAACTGCTGGCCCTGCACTGGACACCCTGAGAACCACGTGCCCAAGAGCATCATCCCAACACTGATTTTAGCTGAACAAAGAAACAACTCAGGGGGAGCAAACCCCAGGTTTTGAAGTTGCTGATCCAGAAACATCCAGGGGAAGAAAGGAAGAGTCCACCATGCAGAGTCCAGACCTGTCTTGCTTCTCTAAGTCCCCTCCAAGTGCTCTCAAAAGCCTCCTCAGGACCTTTTTATCTTCCCCCCTTTATTTCCCTCTCCTGCATTGTACTAAAACACACATTTCCTGAACACCTCAGCTCCTCCCTGGACATCAAACCTTCTCCCATGGCTTTGGCTCCTGGTTTTGTCCCACAGTTCACATCCATGTCCCCAACTGCACTGAAGGTCCCCAGGGATGCAGAGGCAGCACCTCACCTGTCCCCTCACCTTCCCCCAGTGCAGGGCCACCAATTCCCAGGGCAGGACCCCACTGGACCTCAGTTTTGTGGCCCCTTTGTGTTCCTTCTGCCCACAACCAGCCCAGGCTGATCAGGAGCTCAGAGCAGCGTTAACTTCTCACCACAAAGTTCCCTGAGCCCAATTTGACACCAGATTTTTCTCCCTTTACATTACACCCAAAGCAAAGCACTTTGCTGCCTCCTGATTAAATGATGAGGTCCCTTAATTAACGTGATTCTCGAGCACAGTTGCAAGATGAAGCTCTGATTTATTTGCATAACTGAAATCATTCCGTAAAGGGCTGATTTTCCCCAGCGTGGAACTCAGATTTTCCACTCGGGTTTGACAGGGCCCTGGAGGTCAATGGATTTGTCCTGAACTCAAGTGGCTCGAAGCAAAACTGATTTCCAGGACCCCAGAACTCCTGTCAGGGTTTTAACACCGGATGCTGCCCCTGTTCCTGTGAGGGTTTGGATGTGTCACTGTCAGGCTTCAGCTGCAAATCAGTCACCACATCAGACAACAAGAGCTGATTTCATCTGTGCCTCAGATGTGGAGCTCTGAGATCACGACTCCTTCAACTTGCACGAGTCTGATGGGTCGTAAAACATTTGCTCCCAAAGCAACACACGATTTTTTTTTTCAAAATCAGCCCCTCGTAAAACTTTCTGTTAATACCTGAAAGTCTCATATGAGAACCCCTGGAGATTTTCCTACCTAAACTATTCCTACCACACTATTCAACACCTGCTTACTCCTGAAGATCCAACAGTTTGGTTGGATGTGAGAGGATATCCCCCCTGTCCAGCTGCTGGGAATAGCCCAAATTTTGTGGGAAAACTCTCAAAGCACTTGGCAGAGCTGCAACTGAGCCCCAGCACCCTCCTCCCACCCCGAGGATCTCGCTGGCACTGAGGGAAGCTGCACATCAGCTCTGCTCTCCTCCTGCTGCTCCAGTTTCTAATTAACTTCTCTGGATGCCCAGAATGACTCCTGATAAATCATTCCTGTCAGGCATTGGGAGCAACATTTCAAACCCTATCAGAGATAAGAAATCAAAACAACTGTAAAGAGCTGCTCATGGAGAAAACACTCCCAGCTTAACTGCAGCATAAACATCCAGCCCGGGCTGGCTCCCGGGAAGGGGAATGTTTGGGAACATCTCTGTGATTAACACCGTACCTCGTTCTCAGAGTGCCCTGCTGGGGCAGCCCATCGAAGATGGAGAGCACATCAAAGTCTTCCTCCAGTGCAAAGGAGTGGAAAACCAGCTGTATCCTGTGCTGCTCCTCGGCACTGATGGTCCACGTGCAGTTTGCATAATTGGGGTATCCGTAGGGAAAGCCCGGGCTCTGGATCGTCCCGTTGGGGCCCTGCAAGGTGTGGCTGCAGTTCTGGGCTGGCAAAGAGAGAGAACACAGAAAGCACAGTCAGACAGTGGCAGACACATATTTAACACCCAAACACAGCACACACGGGGTGGGGAGGACCAGGAGAAGGGAAAACCCAAAGATGCAGCTTTGTCCTTCCTGCAGGAAGGTGCACCCCGGGCCCCCATCCCTGTTCCCACTGGGATAACAACAGCTGGACTCTGCCTGTTCCTGGGAGCAGAGGCTTCCTCAGCCCCCTCCACTGCCCACAACAAAATCTGTGATAAACAAAGTCTTGTTTCTCTAAGTTTTTGAATAGGAGTTTATTATCTGGTAAAAGCAAGCACAGCCAGCTGGGTGACAGAAATGGGGACAAGTTTCCCAAATCTGCACACACACTACAGTGTACATTTGGCATTTATCTTAGCTGCTTCATGCATATTAATTATCTCATATAAATAGACATTTTACAGGTTTTTGCTAAGTATTTAATATATGGGTTTTCTTACAGCTAAAGCTAAATGGTATCTCTACAACGGTCACAATTCATGCATTCTTGGACCAACAGATTTAAAGTTCTACCATATTTTATTCTTGGGATAGTAGGGAGGTTTTAGGGCCCCTTGACCTTGTGAGGGTCTGTTTTATTTCTTTATGGGGGTGTAATTAAGTTTTACAATCCGTTTTTTTTGTTTGGATGTCATCACCCATTTGTTTCATGAGTCACAATTATTTATCACAGATAACAACAGCTGGACTCTGCCTGTTCCTGGGGACAGAGGCTTCCTCAGCCCCCTTCACTGCCCACAACAAAATGCAACATATTCTTCATCATCCTCGGGGCATTTTGGGCTTGAACACAAGCCTGGGGGCCTCAAACACGAGGCCACAGAGCAGCACAATGACAAAGGCACAGCTGATGGTCTCCTTCACCCCCAGTTACCCTGAACAGAGACACAAACCCAGTGTGCAGACAGTGAGACACCCCCTCACCTTGAACCTCCAGAATGGCCCTCAGACATAACCAGGAGCTGAGTCACCAGCTGAGCCTGTCTGGGCAAGGCTGCATGAAAACTGAGTGGCAAAAGAGCAGGAATTAAACCTGTCCTGGCTCCAGAAAGAGCAGGACACAGTCCAAGCCCTGCCCCATCAACCCACCCTTTAAGGTCCTTCCAACCCCAACCCTTCTGTGACTCTGTGAACAGTTATCTGGAGTGAAAACCATCACCAGAACCACCCCATGCCCCTGTTGGAGCTGATGGGGGCACACAGGACAGAAATCCTTGGCCAGCTCCAGCCTTCTGGGGCTGCTGATTCCTCTCACCCAGTCCTGAAAGGTTTCTGCTCCTGGTGCAGGCTCAGCACACAGCAGATGCCTTCCAATCAGTATTTCTGAAGAGCTCCATCTTCTGAGAACTAAAGCCCACTCCTGCACCACCAGCTGAACACTTCACACCTCCCTCAAACCCATTTTCCTTCCCCAGAGCAGTGCCTGGGAACGCTCCATCCCCAAGATAAAGATCGGCTGCCACCAGGTACAATTTCTGGATATATGAGATTTTCTTCTCTCTGGGGAAACAGGTACATAAATGTTGCTTTGGGAACAGCCTAAATGACAAATTCTCCTTTTTAGTGTTTTCCTCTCCCTGCACTGATGCCCTGAGTGTCTTTAAAGGCACAAAGACTTCGCTCCAAACTGGTACAGCCCTGGCTGGCTTTCCTGGAGTGACTCCTCCACACAAAACCCAAATCCTGGGCAGCTCACAGGGCAAACCTCGTGGGACCAAAAGCATTTTCACCCTTATCCTGTGGCTGCTGATCCCTGCTCTGCTCTGGCTTTTCCCACTGCTGCCGGGTTGTCTCCCCCCTCTGTGTGGATAACCGAGGCTTTCAAGTTGAAATGAATTAGAGTAGAAATTACTTCTTTGATTTCTCCTCGACTTCTTTTTTCAAAGACTCCAAAGGCATTTGCACTTCTGAGTGCCAACCAGCCACAGGTAAAGAACTGCAGAGTAGCGCTCATTAAAGCCAATTATAATTAGATTGACCTACTTTGGTGCAAAAAAAAATTGCTGGGTGGAACTTCTCTCTGCCAGACGAAGTTCACAGCTTCAGGAATCTAAAACGGGTCCACCGTGTTTACTACCCAGGGAATCTTTTCTGTAGCATGGTTATTATCTCAATGAGAGCCAGGACAGCCCCACAATCCACCTGGGATTAAGGCTGAGCCAGGCACAGGATTCCTCAACCAGGGCAGAGGGAGTATTTTGCATTTCCAGAGCATTTTGCATTTCCAGAGCACTGTGGCACCTGCCCCTCTCGGAGTGGGATCCACCTCCCTCCTCCACCTCAGCTCCATTTAGCTGTGGAGTTCACTGAGAAGAACATGAACTGAGTGCCAGAAAAGCTGCCCAGGACTGGGGATGTTGATCCCAGAGGGGTGAATGAACCCCAGTAGCTCAGGAACAGGGGAGGCACTTTATTCATGGTGACTTGTCTGCTCAGCTCTAGAACTGCCTCAGGGTAAGACACAGACTGTCCATTCCCAAACCAGAGTAGTCCTTCAGAGAGGATTTCCTCCTTCCAGCAAAATCTGGAAGTGTGTCTGTGCACCCTTAGACACGGACACAAAAGTGTCTGTACACACCAAGACAGAAATACTCCTTTTTTTTTCTGGGCATTTTTCACCCCAAACCAACTTTTGTCCTGCCAATGCTGCCGGCAGAGGTGGCATTTCAGTCAGCTGGCCCAGGTCAGCCCCTCTTTTCTTAGTTCTGAACCCTTGGCCTCTCTTATGGGATGCCTGATGGGCTCTGCCTGCCTGCCTGGGCTATAATTGTTCTCACATTTGCAGACTGGCCTTTTTATTCTTTTATTCCTTTCATTATGCAAAAGATTTGAGCCCCCAAAATGCTTTTTTTCTTTGTCCAGAAACAAATCCGCAGTGAAAATCCAGTGAAACAATTCCACCAGCTCAGCTGTCTCCAATTCCCACCAAACCACCTTTCCTCCAACCAGAGCAACTGGAACTGCCCCTCCTGCACAGTTCTTATTTGAATCCTAAATTCATCAGGGCAATTTGAGGAAATTGGGAAGTTAAAGAGGCTCCATATCCCTCTGTTTCCCCGATGGGATCAAAGCTCCCAAGGCTGTGGCAAGGCCAGAAAATACATTCAAGGTCGGAGGCACCACGTTCCCAACACTTCCAAGGTCATGGGGAAGGCAACCAGCTCCAAAATCAACATAAACTCGCACCATCCTTGCACAGAAGGGCAGAAATATGGACATAAACCCAACTGAGGGAAACAAAAATATAACAGGAAAGCAGGTCCCAGTTCTGTGAGGTTATCAAATTAATGCACTGAGATATTTGCACGTTCACGACGTCGACCCAGAGGTGCTCTGGACTCAGATAAAACAAAACTGCTCCTTGCAAATAGAGAAGGGGCTGACAAACTGGGAAATAATCTATTCCCCATCAGCTGTAATAGGAGGGAACTTCATTTATATTGGACACTGCTGGAAGAAGTCAGGGAGCCCGGGAGAATTCCTGCAGTCTGTAATTTGCTGCCAGCTTTGAGTTAGTTCAGCTCAGGCTTGACTGACAAAAACCTTATCTAAAATTTAACATACACGAGGAGGAAAACACTCAACTCTCCTCTGCAGATTGCAAAAACAATTCTCTTTATCCCTTTGGCCCAGGAGCAGGAATAAGTGGGAAGATATGAAAGGGCAATGCCAGTGCCTGGGCTATAAAGTTCCAGGTGGATTTTTGTTTGACAGAGGAGACAACATTCGTCCAGAATTTCTGGCACATTCTCTCCAACCCTGAAGTCTCACAGGAGGCACCTCAGGAAAGGGGAACCCTGCAGCTTCCCTCCCATCAGCCCCCCCAGCCCTGCCCTGTATCTCAGCTCTGGTGGCTCATTCCAGGTGTATTTATGCAGATATTCCAGCTTCTGCCACTGTTATCCATGGACTCACTTCCTGAAGGGGGAACACCCCCAGGGGCTCATCCCAGAGCTGGGTTTGTGTCCCAGTTTGGGATGGAGATGCCCAGACTGGGCACAGAGCTGAGCCCAGCTCTACTCTGCCAGTGCCTCCTGCTGCTCCCAGTTCTGGAGAGGGCTTTATAAGGAGATGGGTTTATCAGGAGAGGGCTTTAGCAGGAGAGGGGACCTCCCAAGGAACGCAGCAGGGTGGGTTTAGTGCAGCAGCACTTCCAGCTTCCAGCCAAGGACAATGGAGTTACTGCCCAGGGCACAGAGCCCTTCTCCAAAGGGATCACCATCCAAAGCAGAGGGAAAAAACACAACCCAAGGAATCATTCAGGTGGCAAAAGACCTCCCAGATGATCAAGTCCAACCTTTAAGGGAACCCACACACGAGGCTTTGCAGAGAAACATCTCCATCTGGGACACGGCCCCTTTCCAACATTAATTCACTGATGATCCTTCATTTCTTTCAGTTGTTTTTTTTTTTTACAAGTTGCCTGAACCAGTCTCCACTTCCACCAGCTGGTTTGTGCAATGAACTGCTTCAACAGTGTCCCCAGACTGATGGGCTTCACTCAGGGCTCCTGCACAGGGAGATGATGGAAGAGCTGCATCCCAACCACGGGCACCTCCTGACACCCAGTCAGTGCCCACCCTGCAACCCTGGGCACGAGCAGACACCTCAGCACAACCCAAACACCAGCTGAACACAGCTCTGGCTGCCTCTGGCTCCAGCAGGAGAGCTGCAAACCCCTCCAGCGTTGCTCTGGGCCTTGATCAGCCTCTTGCCACAAAAGAAGAAGGCAGGAACATCCTCCTAACTCCAACCCCCAGAGTTCTCTGGGCAGTACCAGCTCCAGGACTGGAGGCAGCACATTCAGAGCAACAGAATTTCGTCATTTCCTCCAAATTATCCACACTTACACCCAGGAGGAGCTGCCCTGGCTGCTGCACCCCCCCAGCCCCTGCTGGGTATAAAATTTCTGCAGCTCCAGACTCAGATAAACTTGTACATTCAAACTGTGTCACTACAA